ATGCATGGTTTGGATCCTGCACATTTCAAATTCCAGACCTTCTACTCTTGGGAAAAATTTCTTTACGGTGAGCAAGCGCGTCGAAGTGTATGCGAATTTTTTTTCGAGGACATAACTTCAAAATAACTCTACGTTTTGAAAGACGAACTTCAAAATAACTCTAAGTTTTGAAAAACGCGAACTTAACATCAACTAGCTTCTCACGTTCACCAGCTGCTGAGCATAACGAACAATACGCTTAGATGGGCACATACTAGCGCTAGTTGGGTGTCTGAAAGGACTTAATTTCAGACACGCTTTCAGACCAGCTAAAGTTGATCTACATGGAAGAGCGACAAAGACTGTCACAAGCAAGAGGTGCGCCTGCAACTCGTCCACTAGCCATAGACCGTTTTGAGACACGCATCCGTCAAGCACGTGCAGTTCCGCTGCAAAACGACAGTATTGAAAGAATGGCTCGAGTATACGGTAGTAGTACGATGACAAATGGCAGATCACCTGTGAGAGTAAAGGCCGAGAAGACTGTCGTGTCCGGAGATGGTAAACGGTGTGACTGCCTAGGAAAGCATCTGCTAATCAAGCAAAAGTCTTGATTCCGTTTTTTAGTTCGGTTAGAGTTGACTGTGTTATGAAGACATTCTTTGAGAAATGAAAAAAAACAGATTTCTACGATTTCTTCTCGTTTTTATTAATGTTTTATTGTGATATTGATGAAACCCGGTGCATAGTATTGGCTTCCATATCATATGAGATGTGTTGCATTATAAAAATTTAGATGATAATGTAATGACTTAAGTCCAGACTACATCATGGATACACTCGAGAAATAACTGCAAATTTTCATATTATAACTCATGTTTTGCCGCTGTCTGGTCCCAGTCATAGGCTGAGAGGCGCGCCAGGACGGTAAGAAGCTAGAGGCGATTACACAATAGCATTAAAGACATGGTCTGGGCAAATTTTCGACTGCGAGACATCTTTCTCTGATCACTTCGGTGTGGTGAACGCAATAGCAACTTCGATTACCGTGAAATTGTTAAAGAAGCAGTTTCGCGCCCTTGGATTGACAAGGACGAGTAGCATAAAGGTGATTTTAGATTTTCGACTTTTGTTCTCGAAACGCATGTCCTTCTCGCTGAACGTAAGCGATGAGGAACACTGATTTAGCGGAGTGACCTAAAAGGGACAGGCTGATCTAAACGTACGGAGCGGTTTTCTCGCTTACATGTGAATTATTCGCTTGAATTTGGGAAATAGTTTAGACAGAAGATCGGCTATCATTATCTGAAACCCAAATTTGAGCTAAACTAGTGACTGGTAAAATTAACATATCTCGATTTCCTTAGTAATATACTTTGAATGTTAAAGTGTATCAGGAAACACTTCTTTACTTTAAAAATTAACAGTAGAGAAGTAGAAAGCAAGACTTTGCACACTCTTCAGAATACTTGGGACTTCTTGCTAATAATAAAACTCTTAAAGTGGATTTTGCTGCTTAAAGAAAAGAAAAGAAAACGTACAATTAATTGATATGTGCAGTATAATGCTGCAGCTTCAAAAAGGGGAAAAACGATGCAGAATTTATAATAGTTTAAAAATAGTTAATTATAATTATATAATCCTTCTATAAAAAAATTGCGCAAGTGGGCGGTATGCTCGACTGATTGTGATAGGGCACGAGGAATTCGAAAACCAGCGTTTGGCAGGGTGAAGTGGTAAGTAAAGAGCGAAGATGGGTTTTCTCTCGAGTTATCTCTATTGCGCCCGACCGGCATCGGCGGCAACATGACTGACCACGACAGAGGTAGCGTATCTAACAGGCATGTACTCTGCGGTTGGGATGTTGCGTGTGCGGGCTTAGAGGCCTACTGGCTATCGTACGCGTATACGTTTGGAGCTCTTGCTTAGGCGTCAGTAATACTAGCTCCGAAATTGGCCAGCCTGGCTCCCTGCTCCTTTCGGAGTGGACTGCCTGGTGGCATCCCCCGAGCTGTGATGATACGTCTGTGTGTTAAATTCATTGGATGGTAAAACAGCAACCAATAGTGCCAGCTTATGATTCTGCGTATATGGCAATATACTTATTTATTTATTTATTTATTTTACACATAAAGTGCGCCAAAAATGAGAATAGAAATAGGTATCATGCTCGAGCAGTCACATCAAAGATAAACTAGATGGCTTCTACATTATAGTGGTCAGGTCGTTCTCCTTCTCCAGAAGGTGAGGGGTCCTCTGCCGAGTTCCTGTTCCCAAACCCAGATGCAAGTTTATGTAGGCAAATTTTACCAGGGCTTGCCAGCGCAAACTTAATCCGGGGCGAACGAATTCGTCAGGGACCCTGGGCGAGAGAGCAGGGGGAATCTCAAGGGAGAGGGTTCACTAGCTGTCGTTATCCTTGAACGGCTATTCTCGGTATGTAGAAGCACTAGAAGAGCAGGATCTTAAAATGAA